TCCGGGCCAAAAAATCTCGGCTTAGGGGGTGGGTACACTTCTTAGTGGTTCTCGACAGACTTGGATCTAAACGCCTCAGGCCTCCGGCCTCGGCGGATTACCATCACACATGTAGAATTTTCCCAAGACTCCCGTCCCCACCTCCTCGCCCCTCCTGCTTCTGCCTGTCTGACGAATAGCGCTGCCAACCCATGTATTTGACACAACAGCTCTGTGGAATCAGGATATACAACATTCTGAAGCACCTGGATGGCGATGACGACGATGTGATTACCCAAGAGGAGTTCAGGAGACACCGGGCTCGTTGTGTTTTGTCTTGCCTGTGGTTGTCCTTTGTCGGGAGAAGAGTGTGGTTGGAAAGTTTAGACTTCGCCTATATACTGCATCTTCGAACAGCATGCCATTTGCCGTGCTGCTTCGTCCCTGGCAGGATGATCCTGGACAGGAACCTCAACTGTCATTGAGTGCTCACAGTGTTGACCCAGTCTCGAGCTGCATTCGACGTTTCACAGTGTGAGCCAACACAGCTCAGGAAAGAGGCTGGGGTCCCAGCTCACATGAACTCTTATCTTGTTTGATATCTTCTCAGATCACTGATGCAAGGCGATGGCCGTCTTCCTCGAAGTTGGGGTGGATGTTATTGCCATTCTCAAGGATCCAGACATTATCTTCGGTGGCGACTTGGGGCAGCACAGAAAGCTAGACAAATCTGGATCTGAAATTTGGGGGATTCCGAAAACTCTGGGACCTTGTTTGCGGGTTCTTCTTCTCCATGTCGGGGCCTGAAATTGGCTACCCCTAGCCGCGCGGGTTTCGAAGGTGAGGTGCGCCTACCCATCGACGAGCTCCTGGATGAGGTGATCACCCTCCGAGGCAGCAATTTCACCACCGTCAAGGAGAGATCCTGTGGGGGGGGGAGGTGACCGCTGTCAGGTTTGTTCAGGGCAAGGTTTAGGGTTTAATTAGGGCCTTTAGGGTTATAAGTAGGGCAACTCTAGTCAAAATCTGTCGAGTTGCTTGCGATTCCGAGGATTTGGTCCAGCTGAAGAACCAGTTGGTCCGGGAGCTGCGACGATTCGGTCAAAGGAGGCAACTTCTTGGGTGATGCTGCCATGTCGAGTCATTCCTCCACAGCATTTGCCCCAAAAAAGGGCCCGAACCACTGTAACTTTAGGAGTTCAGCTGCTCGCAAAGCGAGCATGAGAGTGCAGGAATCCAGCATCAAGGAGATGTCGTTGTTTTTTTCTGACGTGCGTGCTTGCGGGCCTAAGGCCCCGGGCTTCTGCACCAGTCACTAGAGCGTGTAAGAGAATCAAGACAATTGCAAGACATGAAGGTCTCACAGTTCCAGGTTGCCTAGGTTCCTGCATTGGCCTTCACAAGGAAGACCAGTTGACCCCTCCAAAGCTTCCAAGCAAATGCCCTCGATTTCGGTTCTTGTGTGCGCCGAGATGTGAGCCGTGTTTGAGCAGAGCAAATAAGCAAATAGGTGGGCTGTCTTCGCGGCTGTACTGTCCCAAGCCAACAAGAGCTGAAGGTACGGCCAGATGCGTGGGGCAAAGGGGGGCGCGAGGGACAAGTCAGGGGATGACATGGAGGGAAGGTCCTGATACAGGTGATACAGGGACAACCTTGTGTTTGCTTGCACAGTTCATGCTGCAGAGGGTAAGACGAGAGCTTCAACCGTTGAACGGTTTACAGGTCTGTAGGCTCTTGAGCCATGCTTCGATACCCTCTTGGACTTCATCTCCTGTGCCACGTGGTGTCGCAGCCTGGCAGAATCATTCCTGCACGGGTCGTGGAGGTCGTTTTTACTCCACTTACTTGCTTGCCCAAGGCCTTCTGGGGGAGCAGCCTCAGAAGTTTCATGCGGTGGGCACGCTGCGATGACCTGCGCAGCTTGCGTTGAGTCGCAGCCGGCAGAGGACCAAGCATTCTTTTGAAGCAATTTTAAGCCCTGCGTTCGGCTTTTGTGACTTGTGCACTCGAAGCATGTGTGACACGCTGTGCGGTCTCCCGTCTCCCGGCATCCCGTGCAGGATGCGAAGAACTTCTGCAATGGAGAATCTTGTCGTTTCAAGTAGATCGGCCTCCCCCAGAAGCCCAGAAGTGTGACAGGTGAAAAGCACATATGTGCTGGGCAGGGAACCCTGACAGCTGCACCGAAGGACTGCATGTGGACCGGTGTGAGCTGCATCACCCGAGAAGCTGCTCGGCGAAGCGAGCTGAGTGCCTCGACATGCCTCACCTACTTCTACTTAAGGATCGGGCCGTGTCCTGCGGGGGCCACCGCGCAGCGGACTGCGCCCACTGCCCCGATGGGCACGGTGGTGGATGGTGCCACGGCCACAACCCCAGCATGCCCCTGCACTGCTGTCACTGTAGTTGCAGCTGATGCCCCGTTCAACTGCCTTGAACTGGTTGTGGGACTAGGCGATTGCCTATGGCTGGCGGAGGAGTGTGTTTCGGCCACTGGAAGGAACCGAGAAGCTGCGAAGAAGGAGCTACATGCAGCCTCAAGCGTTCGGGGCCCTCCAAAAGCATTCAACGGGGCCTCAGTTCACACCGCTGGGCGGGGGCTGTAAGTCAGAGCAGTCACGGGTTGGGAGCTTCTGGTGAAAAGGTGCTTCCTCCAGCAGAGGCTTCAGGAGCTTCAGGGGTAATTCAGCCACCATCAACAAAGTCATCAATTCCCTGGGGTCGGGGTTCTGAAAAGGAAGTTCGAGGGCCACTGAGGTCCGAAGGTACCGGCCAAACCCCTAAACCCTAAACCCTAAACCCTAAACCCTAAACCCTGCGATGTTGGGGGTGGTTTGGTGCTGGCTCTTGGAGGTCGCATGCACGTGCTCTGGCCGAGCTGTTAATGACACAAACCTTCTCATGAAGGGGGCCCCCAGGGTCCGCAACTTTTGGGACGCACTCCTACCAGTGTGTCCTCTCCCGGAGACCTCGACTTAACCCTGCGGAGCGGGTGCTGATGTGCGCGCAGTGCGGGTGGCGAAACCCTAAACCCTAAACCCTAAACCCTAAACCCTAAACCCTAAACCCTAAACCCTAAACCCTAAACCCTGAACCCGAAACCCTAAGCCCCAAAAAGCAGATTCGCCAGGAACACCGGAAGGTCCAGTCCCAGCCGCGGCTTCGTAGCTCATTCGCGACTGGAGGTGCAGCCAAAAGCATGGCCTTTTGCCTTCTTGTGTGGTCTAGGCACGAATCTAAAGGTTCATACGGGCCTGAACAACCAGCTGCCCTGAACCCTGCACCCTACATTTTTTGGCTCATCCTCAGGGATTTTGAACTGGATGGACTGGCTTGTCGGTCCGCGCAGCGAGCCGGAGCCTACACCAGAAGAGCTCTACACGGGATACGTGCCATGGCTACATGCTTGCTTCTCTATAGTATTGCGCCCCCTTTTGGGGTACCCTGAATAATACGGACCACCATTTAGAGAACTCACCACATGTTTGCCTGAGCCTCTTCGGTTCTCTCCCCGAACGGTTAGGCCCTAACTCCTCCCCTAAATAGCCCCCGCAACTACTCTAAGTCGTCCCGATCTGGGATTGGTTGCAAAAGCTGTGCGTCGATCGGAGTCAAGGATTTAGGGCCCTTGGGTAGAGAATCGTAGGGTTGCTCACAGTCTTCACAAGTTAAGGGGGGTCACGTTGCGGTTCTCCATTCAAAGCCTCGGAACAGGCCCCTGAGGAGGGATGAATCGTGGGGAGATTAGAGTGTTCATGAGTGTTCTTATCATGCTGTATTCGAGTTTCTAACTCATGACTTTGAGGGGAGGTGTGGCTGATCAGGTCCGGAACCTGGTTGGGACGACCATCAGTCACACTGTACAGGTGGGGCCCTTAGCAGTGCTTTGCCTCATAGTGATGCTCTATACTTATGCTTATGAGTGACCGCTGGGGCTTCCCGCGCGTGGACGATGTGCGCGGCTAAGGATGCCGGGAAGGACTGATCAGAAGATCCCGCCCATGCAGCCACCGACATGTTACTTCCGAATCCCATACCTTTCGCATCACTGTCTGGAAGGACGTTCTTGTCAACTGCTACGCGCCGTGGTGCGGCCACTGCCAAAGGTTTAAGCCTCTGTACAAGGACCGAAGATTCAGCGACTGATGCCTCTCACGTTGCTCATACAAAACGTCCTCTTCTGCCGGCTCAGCCTGAGGAGTTGGCAAAGCGGCTGTCCCACGTGCGCACATTGATCGTTTCCCAAATAGATTGCACCCAGAACGACCTGGGCCCGCTGCGGGGATGCCCGGCAAAAACGGAGCGGGTCGCTCTGTCGTGCGGAATCTGTCATGTGCTCAAGTTGCTCAAGCCTAGGATATGTATCGGGCTATCCGACCATAGCTCTGTTCCCCAGCGGGGGCACTGGAAGGATAGACCTTTACGCCGCTCGGCAACACTCAGCATCAGCGTCACACTATGTCAACGCTGAGCCGGCGTGCAAGGTGGGAAGCCGCAGGCCGGATGATATGATCAAATGGCTGCATACAAACGCGACTGACCTGCAGAAAACCTCGGAGGAACACTCGAGCCCAAAGCTTGTCATCACCTGCCAAGGTTGGTAAGTCGTTTTCTGACACTCCGCTGGACGAAGTGAATGACAGTTGGGGTCAGGGACCCTCGGAGAAGGATGACGATTTGTGATGCGATCCTCTTTTCCGTGTCACCCCATCATGTGTGCATTCACCTGCATGACTCATGAATGCCTCGACACTTCGGTGATGTACAGCAGACACTTCGGCAGAAGCCACAAGACCATGCTTCCGCCAAGCTGTCAACTAAGCCAGAAACAGCGTGCGATCAGGCTGTGTTGGGAGAAGGTGTGCTGCGCGTGGTGTGTAATGTCCACAAGCTGAGCGGCGATGGCCCTGTGCGTGCCTTGATAGATGTGCGCATGAGAGGTGCACTTGGAGTTGGTTGTGCCTATGTTGTGCAAATCTTGCGCATATCTTGTGCACATCTTGTGCGTGTGCTGTGCGCAGGCCTTCGTGAACCAAGAAGGCACCAGAAAATTGGCCGGGACCTCGTGTCCTTGAGCGAACTTCGGCTTGACATCGCACCGCGTGACGTGCACCCTGCGGCTGACTCGGCGTGCTTGCATAACAGGTGCTTTGCAGCCACCAGTTTGCCGTGGTGCGACCCATCCTGATCCAGGCGGCTCGCGCGTCGCGGTATGTCGCTGTTCGTGTGTGGGGGACAGAGAAGAGCACTTCTAGGGGCAGTGAGGCAACCCAGGAGAGAGGGAGAAGAGAAAGCGGAGAAAGGGGCCGAACGGACAAAGGGACGACAAGAGCAGAAAGGGGAAGCTGGGAGCGGACAGGTGTCCGCAAACCTCCGCGCCACAGAAACAGTGGGCAGTCCACAGCCGATTGGGACGACGGAACAAAACCACATGGGGTTGAGGAGGCAATAGATGGGGCGAACTTCCCCTCCATTCATATTCAAGAGGAGACCATGTAACACAGGGACCCAGTCTCGCCCGAACACGCGGAGCAGCGGGCCCGTCGTGGCCGGGGTTCCCCCGAGAGGGGGTGCCTCTTCGCTGAGTAGAGCAAACTAGAAGAAGAGAGAGCAACGGGCAGGACCCCTCGGGGCCCTTCGCTGGGAAGAAGAAGAAGAAGCAGAAGAAGAAGTTTGAAGAAGAAGTTTGAAGAAGAAGTTTGAGGAAGAAGTTTGAAGAAGAAGTTTGAAGAAGAAGTTTGAAGAAGAAGAAGAAGAAGAAGAAGAAGAGGAAGAGGAAGAAGAAGAAGAAGAAGAAGAAGAAGAAGAAGAAGAAGAAGAAGAAGAAGAAGAAGAAGATGCGAGCGCGTCACGTTCGCGGGGGTTCCGGCCCTCACGCCCCAAACGAGAAATTACTGAGGACGCTCAGTGACGTACCTGCTGCAATTCAACTTTACAACTGCTTTGCGATGTTGGGGGAGCTTGCGCAATGTCATTGTTTGTAGTGTGTCTAGATTCCCGAAACGCTTCGAAGCAAATGTTTCGTTCTGACCTTCATCTTTCAAGCCTGAGCAGCCTGAACTCGAGTGATGACTCTGAAGTTGGCTTAAGTCAGCCGTGAAGACGCCAATGTTTCAACCAGCATGGACTGAATAAGTGCCTGGCATGGAGTCTGGAGGACTTGGAGCTTTGCTACGCCGGCTTTTGCGCCAGACGTGGCATTCGTATGGCCCGCGCCTAAGTGGTGCCCTGTAATAACCCTCCTTGGCGAGTGAGCTGCATTCAATCAGGAGCAGGTCGACGTCGACAGGTTTGGCGATTTCGGCGCCCGGCTCTTGGACGAAGTGTGCCCGTTTGGCCCCGCAACCCCTTAGAATCCTTTGTGATTTTGGTTTCAACGTTGTGCAATGTTGGGACCATGTGAAGATCCGAACCACGGAGCGGCTCCTGCACGTGGCCCGCGGGTTCCGTGCTCCACTTCCCGTGCCGCACGAGCTGAAGGCACGCTTCGAGTAGGGTTCAAGGTTTGAGGCGCTTGCCGGATGGAGTCATCCATGAATCAGTCCACATGTGCTCGGCATTGATAGGAAGGAGGTGGGCCATGTGGTATGCGGCGCATTGCTGGCAAGAGGAGAGGAGGGGGGAACACACGATCAACAGGCCTTGATGGCCGAGATAGTATGCACTTAAAAAACGGTGCGTGCTGCGAATGCTGAGAAGAAACTAGCATGCTCAGGCCGGACCGTTTGAAACTTGTTCGTTAGTGATGCGGCAGAATCAGCATCGGCGGTTCGCAGCGACCGCTTACTGTTGTGTCAGGCTAGGCACCAAGGCTTCGCGCCGTCTGCAGTGTTGAGACTTCTTCTGGCCTGCACACCCTGACTCCGAATCAAGGTCCGATGGACAAATTCAAAAGTGCCCTCCCATCACTTCCTTCTCAGTGTTGTTAAAGACCTGATGCTGTTCATCCAGCCTGCTCATGCCCCTGACATGGAGAGAGAGAGAGAGAGAGAGAGAGAGAGAGAGAGAGAAAGAGAGAGAGAGAGCGTCGGCACGTGTGCGAGCGCAACTTTGCTTGTCTCGTGCAGGTAGTCCAGCACGAAGAAGAACTTCGCGCCATGGCTCCGGATTCGCCCAACTTGGCCTCTTGTCTAGTTTAAGTTTGCTTGCAAGTTGCAGCTTGCATCGCTCCTCTGTTGCATGCTTGTGACCGTGCTGCAGATTCTCATCGAGAACGGCCCATCTGTAATCCTCTCTTCGGAAGACGCCCGCTGCAGCAGACAGCTCGTAGTTCACATAGCTTGCAGGATGTGTCTGATCCAAGGACCCGATGCAACTGCGATACTGCAGTCTATCGCAGGCGAGAGCTGCATTAAGCAAGAAGGTGAAGAAAGTGACATGGCAGCAGGAAATTCACGGAGTGCACGCCAAGCAACCTTCCAAGGCCTTGGGCGATTGCGCGATGATTTCCATACGTTTCCTTGCTTTCTTTGCTCACTTTGCTCGCTGCCAGTTTGGACGACAACTGTCAGTTGCCAAAACTCAAGAGGCAAGGAGCTGCGATCTAAAATTGCACCGTGCCGGGACCGGATGCTTGGGACTGGGGAATACTGGGAGGCCCTGACCACACCACTGTTGTCAGCAGGTTTCGAGCTCGGGGCGTGTGTTCAGTTTTCAGTCCCAGGCTTGCGTCGCACTGCGAGGTGAGGACGATGAGCAGGCCCAGGCATCAATAGCCCCAGTTACACCGACGACACCAGTGTCACCAAACAGCCACAAGCCTCGCACAGTTGCTCAGTCCTCAGAGGGGTATTGTACCATGTACCATGTGTTACCTTGAGAGGGAACATGCGCTGAGTCCCCTAGAATCCTAGGATGGCCACCGACAGTCGGTGGAGATCCCCACCAACGTATTCTGGAGGCGGGATGGCACTGCCCAACCTCCCCACCCCCCCTTCCACTTCCCTTCCCCTGCCCCCTTGCCCTCCTCCCCCCCCCCCCCCCCCCCCCCCCACTCCTCCGCCCTCCCCCACCCCGCAAGAGAGGCGAGCTTGCTACAGCTTTGACTCTGACCATCAACTCACTCAACCACGACTTGCGTCATGCCACACAAGATCACACAAGCTGTGTAGCTGTGAACACGTGGGTTCTTACGAGATATGCAAGCTCAACGTATATCAATGTGGGTGGCGAATGCGACTGATAGGACACCAGCTAGGCCTACTGTCGAGTCCCATGGCTCCGACTTTGGCCACATGGCTACCAGTTGCTCGCCAATGCAGCCTGCGAAGACCGATGCTGGCCAAGTGGAGTGTCACCTGGCGGCTGGGACATGCTCGGCTCCTTTCGAGACACTTGCCGGCACACTTCGACTCGGCGAGGCTTTCTGCTCGTCCTTGGGCTGGGATGCTTGCCCTGTCCAAGCGCGGTCCGCCTGGCCCGCGAGGCCCGGAGTGAGCGAAGTTCTAAGGAGACCAGATAAAGCGTGAGCCATGGCATGATCGGCGGTGCCAGCCTGCGGCAGACTTTGAGGCTGGCGCCACATTGAAGGCCGAGATCGATCGGGAGGAGCTCTGGCGAGCTTGCACACTGCCTGCATTACAACCCAGGATTCTCCGAGAGATGGAGTGATGTAGTGATGCCCTTTCTGAATTCATCTGCGAGGCTTTCTGCAACGCTATCCTGATCGACCCGCTGTTGCTGGACTGGCACATTGGATGCAGATCTCTCCAAACTGCTCCAAACTGTTTGTAGCAGCCCCGTTTCTCAAGGTCGAGTCGGGCTTGTCCTCGCTTGCTCCCTCGCTTTGGCGATTGGCAGGGAGGCTACCACCCAGGGAAGGGCTCCGCCTGGATATTGGCACCTTGATTCAAGCTCCATCAGGAGGCAGCGCGCGCTACGTCACTGGCATGCTTGCAGTCAAAGCTGAGGTGACCCAGAGACGGACACGGGCGCGCACGACTGGCAAGCCGGGCTGCTGGTGGTAGGAGGCCCTCGCAGTGGGAAAACCTGGCTGGTGCACCGCTTTTGCACTGGTGGCGTGCCCGATCGGCTGGACAAGGCCCTGTGCCAAAGACCACATCTGCCATGTGAGCGATAGAAGTTGCTGGTTAGGGCGCAACAACTCAAGCGTTGGCTCGTTGGTCTTGTGTTTGTGGTACGCTCTGTCGGTGTCAGAATGGCGCCGCTGTCGCCAACCGGCCTCGGTTCGCTGCTGCTACTTGTGGCATCTTGTGGCAACGACCACCGGAGCTGGTTGTGCGGCTGGGTATCTCTTACGAATAGCCGACCGCACTGCTCATGACCACCTCCGCCAAACTTCTCGCAGCGGGCGCCAATTCGTCCACGGGTGTTTCGGCGACCCGCCCCATGTGGAACTGGATCGTGGGAGCCAGCGGGCTTCCCACGGCTAGAGCACCAGGCGGTGGTTCTCCATTTCAGACACACCGGGGACTGCCAGCACCCAAGATAGGCGGGGGGTTACACCCGAACACGTAGGCTGGAGCTGCCTTGGCTGCACCGGCCTTTTCTTCTTGTTCATCTTCGCGTGGACGGTCGCCCTCCAAGAACCTTGGCGGGCAGGGTGCAGTCTGTGGCGCGGCCTTTTGCTTTTGGCGCCACCACCCGTTTGCCTGCCGTGCTTTGCCTTCAGCACCCAGTTCCGGCTCTCCGTAAACTGAAAAAAATCGAAACCCCGCAGGATCATTGAGATCATGCTTGGTATGCTCAAAGGGTCATCGTGGACCTTGAGGGCTCACATGAGGGATGCCTTGGTGCTCCAGACCCGTGTCTCTCGCCGGGGGTGTCGCCCACTCCCAAGTCCCGCGGGCTGGACCACCTCTTGGAGTGCCCGGATGAAACGCAACCTTTCCCCCACATGTCCCACAAACCAGAAACACTCCCAAAGCTGCGGACCGCGTCAAGAATGTGTGTGTTTGCCCGCGCTGTTAGCGCGCATGTTGAGCGCTTCCAGAGAGTTTAGGGTTTGCACGGGATCCTTCGGCCGAGCCGCCGACGAGGGCTTGCTTCGTGTTGTTGCGGGCTGTCGTTGTGTTTGGTGTTAGCGGCAGAGGCTTTGTCAAAAAAGTTGCCGGAATAGGAGGTATGCTTGGTCTCATTTACTTGGGCCCGTTTTGGCCTGCCGCCATGAACTTGCTGAACGACGGGTCTCTAGTGTTACGCGCTTTCAGCAGCAGCACAAAAAGAGTTGCGCACTGAGTGTCCGTTTTGTTGCAGAGTGCCTATGGTGTGCCTGTGGAGTTTCTGTTCATGAGCGTGGGTCTTGTGAGGGCTTGGTGTGTCTCTGCATGCGTGCGTGTGCCTCAGGTTCCGAGCTTGGGCACAGACATGCGCGTCGTTCGGGTGAGGATGCGCTCGAAGCAGCTGCACACGCGGGGCCGCCTGCGAATTTGGGAGCCCTCGGGCTTCAGTCGCAAGCAGGCTATGCTGATCCTTTACAGAAGCGGTCGGGATTTCAGTGCAGCGAGATAACGCTGACCTTTCTGAAGGCCTTGGGAGGCTACTTGAAGGCTGCGCAAGTAGTGGTCGTCGCCGTCGATGCTACTGAACTTCAAGCTCCACACGAAGCGAAACAGCTTCTCTCCAAGGCGTCGGAGGACAGGTTCCATTGCAAACGAGTCCTTCATTTCGCAAGTGGGGAAGGGTGCACATGTCCAAGCGGTTTGGGCTGTAACCTCAAACCCTCTGTCGTTAAATAAACTTTGGGGTGCACTGGCGCGACGATGCTGCGCTGATGATTGTAGTTGAGGAACCTTATATTCTAGAGCTCCTACGGCCTGAGACCTTGGCGCCTAGTTTTCGGAGAACCAAGCGGAAGTGGGGATGTCTAAGGGTGTAAAGCGATGACAAGCTGCTTTGCCGCCCTCGCCGGCAGTCCATGCGGCCTGGTACAATCCTGGCGCTTTGTGGCCTCCAAGTAGCCAGCTCCTGAATTGAGAAGCCTGCCAAGACTGCACGCTAATGCCGCTAACTCCGCTAACTGAATGCGTTCCTGAGGATCGGCTCTCGCCGCCTCAGTACCGAGCGGCAAGTCACCTGCTGGGGCAGTCGGCGAAGATGGCGCATGCAGAGTTTGGGATGTGCAGTGCCTTGCCACTTGGCTGCATCGGAGAGATGTGCTCCGTGCCCAGACGCATCTAAAAGCTGGAGGACTGGAGAGGGTGTCGAGGACTTCTTCTGCGCCGTCCTAGCCGCTTGTCAGGCTCTGCTGGGTAGGGTTCCAGGGCCGGTCTTGCCACCTTTTTTTTCTTATGGGCGTCAGGAGAGCAGCATCGACCTGCCAGCAGCAGCTCCTTGTCTTCAGAGTGCACCATTCCTCTTTTCGAGGGTCGAGACCCTTTCCCACTACCTTTTGCTTATACTTGCAAATCTCGCGCAGAGGAGCCCGTGCTGAATCGCGTGGCTGGGACGCTGACGAGCACTGAGCTGCTGCGTGCATTGCTGCATCGCGACGAGCACCTTTGACCGTGCGGAAAATGCTTTCAGCAAAAGAGCTTGCAATGATGGGACTGGGGTGGTCATTGAGATGGTCCAGGACTAGGATAGTCGCGAGGGAGGAAAGGAGGAGATGCGCGGATGCCTCCCTTGTGCCTTAGTCTTTTGCCTAGCCGGTAGTCATCCTTGTCTGCCACGCGACAACAGTCGTGAATCATGAACACGCACCCTGGAACAAGAACATGTAACAGAGGAAGAGTAAAGATGCCCTTCGAGCCCTGCCCCTGCACCTGCGCGCTGGGACTGGGGGGGGTGGGCTGTCTTGCATGGCTCCGGTGCTCAGCAGCTTTTTCTGGGGCGAGTACTACACCTAAGACTCCAGCATCCGCAGACTTGAAAGACCTTAAGCTCGGATGCGGCAGGCGGAGTGCAGACTGGGTGTCGGACCCGCTGCTCAAGTGCCCCTCATGTCATACTTCAGCTATCTTCAGCTATCATGCTGTCAAGTGACCTCAGTTTTCTAAGTATCTTACCCAACTTACCTACCACCCGACGGCTGAAAGGTACGCCCTGCTGCCAAACTTTGTGGCTGAGACGCAGGATCCACTGGAAATTTGCGAGGAGCTGAGCAGCCTTTTTGCCCCGGCTAGCATTCTTCTAGTTCCAAAGCGACACCTTGCGACTCACAGGTTTGAGAGGTGTGCTGCTGACCCTGATGTTCTGGGCAGCTTGGACGAACAGTCATTGTGGAGACGTGTACGCGTGCCACTCATTACTGTTCACAACTGCGGGCAGGTGCAATTCGCTCCTGCCTCAGTACTTTTGGCAAGTTGGCAGCGGCAAAATGGCCGCAGGGAGTTCCAGTCGTGCTCAGACCGTAAGCTGTCAAGCTGAGCAGGTGCTGACACTGAACCCGGGGAGGGGAGGGGGGGGGGGGGCGAAGCTGAAACCTCCAGACCTGCAAATGGCACCAGAAGCAACACTCTCGCGCCCGCGCCCTTGATGCTGACCACAGGGCCACATAAGGTCCACGCAGGATCAAAGGCTCTTGGGGGAGTTCTGAGCCCACGAAAATTCCTGGGGGTACATGGGGCGTGCATGGGGTGCCTTGAAGTCGGTGGACACTGTCCTTGCAGGAGTTCGAAGTCCTCTTTCAGGGCGGTTCGCAGAGGGTCATACCAAAACAGTCCACAGGGGTTCATACACCCGAAGGGAGGCCAGGTCCAAACGTGGGGCCGACACTTTTCACATGCATTCGCAGGTAGATAGGTTGCACTCGAAAGAGTCTCATGTCCTGCCCCTTGGCCTAAGGCTGCGCTGTTAGTGCCGGTGATGTGCCTACACGCCCTAGCAGCTTGGTTGCCAGTTGCAAAGCCCTTAGGAGCTTAGGACTCCTGTTTGTTTTTGCATGTCGTTTTTCGTGTTTTTGGGGAACTTGGGAGCCACCTTGTGGGCCTTGGGACAGGTCGTCTGGCACGATGCGATCCGCGCGGTTACCAGATCCGATCTCTTTAGCCAAGACACGGAGCACTTCTTCCTGCCTTGAGCCCGGGCAGGAACTTTACCTTGCCGATGTGGATTCAGATGTTTCGTTCCGTCTGCACAAGAATGTTTAGGAACCCACCGAAGATTCTGGAGCTTCTGCCTGCATGCTGCTTGTGCATCTTGTGAGACAGAGGTTAGACTTCGTCATGGAGCCGACGCTCGGCTGAGCAAGGTAAGAAATAGGAAGCACATCCGCTGCGCAGCATTCGTGGTCGCTACGCTTCCATCACGCGCGGTCACCCTCGTAGGTTGCTTTTGGTCTTGGGCAGAGGAGCGGACAAGTACTTGTAGCCTTCCATGAGGAGCCCGCCGATGGCATTTTGCTCCGATGCCGTGGGTAGCCACTATTCACTATAGTTTAGAGATGTTGAGAGTCTTGGTACGTCTTTGATGTGTCTTTACAGTCGCCATCTCGCCATGGGCCGGCTGGCTGTGGCCTTGGCCTCCCTGATCTTGGGTTCTTCGGCGTCTTGTCTGTTCTGCTCCTGTCGGTTCCATCATGTTTCTCTCGCGCACGGCTTCCTGTTGCCTTTGCCTGCACTTGGAGGCCCCGTCAGCCAAGGCATGTTCAAACTTTGTCATGAACAACGACTACGGGATATCTGTGCGAACAATGGACTTAGGAGATATCCCTGGTCTAGGCCCATTGCTTAAGCCTGGTGAGGTCAAGCCAGCAGTGAAGCCAGCGCAGTTGGCATTGGCATGGTCTGGCAGGCTGGTCCCTGTTGAGTGTGCCAGCGGACTCCCCTGGGCTTCGAGCGTCCAAGCACGGCTACCTGGGATTCGCGGCCACACTTCTGGGAGTCATCAAGGCCCTGGGACAACACCTTGGTCATGAGTTTCCCGATAAAAGGGGTCGCATCAGTTGGTTTAGGCTGGGGCCCGGGGGCCCATCCTTTCTTTTCCATCAACAAGGGACTAAAAGACGGCTCGGGGAATGAACAGTGAGGCAACCGACTAAGACTGTGGGACCCCGGCCTGTGCATAGGCGAGCCTGAGTCGAAGCGTGATAAGACCAAGACATGGGGATCCGACTTGGCGAAACGACAAAGCAGAAAACATTTCAAAAAGGCCCAACGGGATGCGGACAAGATGACAAGGGCCCACGATCACCTCATCCGTATTGAGTGTCCAGCTCAGGTGCTGGCTTGGCGATTTGTTTGGTAGACACATAGAAGCCCCAAAATAAGGCTACGTCCGACCGTAGGCTACGTGTAGGCCTACCTAGGGCCTAGGGTAGCCTACCGGTAGGCCTAACAGGGAGCTGCACCACGAGCTCTTTTTGGCTGAGGTTTTGGGGTTTCGGGTTACTACGAAGAATAGGCCTGTGGATGCAGTAGCCTAGGGGAAGGCCTACGGATAGGCCTGTGGGTTGCCTGTGCGTAGCCTACCTACGGCAGGCCTGCCTACCTACGGCAGGCCTGCCGTTAGGCTACCGGAGGTCCTACCGACAGGCCTACCGGTAGGCTACTCGAAGCCCTACCCACAGACCTACGGGTAGGCTACCGTAGGCTCTTCACGTAGGCCTACGGGTAGCATATACGTTTGGGCTTCTTTACCTTTTTAGAAAATTTGGCATGGCTGGGTATATGTATATGGCATCAAACAAAATCACATTTTCGAATATTCTACCACATATTGCATCGGTGATCGCATATGACAGGGCATGCTTCAATATCATTCATAGCATAAGAATATAGAATGTATTCCACTTGATGTGTTTTTATATGTATGGCGTCTCGTGCCCTCTTTGCGGCGAACAGGAAAGCTGGCTTTTTGGAGGCATGAGTCTTGGCTGCAGCCACCAACGGCTAGTCTGTATCTCTCTCTCTCGCTCTCTCGCTCGCTCACTCTCTCAAAATGAGGAACGATGCAGGTCTGAGCTGCGATGCGCAAACCTTGCTGGGAAGCCAGTACCCAGCTGCTGCCGCAGAGAAGGACAACATGGAGGCGGTTCTACTTTGCCGATGGGCCCTGGAAGGCTTTGCAACTATCGAAGAGATTCAAGAAGGCCTGAAATCTGTTCAGCTACATGGCTTGCAGAGGCGCATATTCTGCGTGCACGCGCAGTGCACTTCGTATGTGTGCTTCCAAGATCTTCCACGGTAGATCTTGGAAGCAGATTCCAACCATGCACGCCTGCCCTGTTTCACAGGCACGCTTGAACACGCACACACACACACACACCCACAAATGCATCCACACTGAGCCATAACAGTGTCACTGGTGTAACACAGTCAGACTGTGCTGTTGCCATCATTTCGCAAATCAGCATCTTGAATGCCAAAGGTGATCCACGCCCCTGCTTGTAGTTGACTCCTAGTGACTGTTGGACAGACAGGTGCACACACTCACTCGGAATGACCGCCCTTCTCAATCTTCAGCATAAGCTGCATCAACGTCTTCAGCTGTTGCTGCATCTTCAGGTTTCAATTATGAATGCACACTCGATAGATGCAAGCAAAATGTTGCACGGCATCTAAACATAAGACAGTCTCATCTTGGCAGGTACAGGTAGCTGATCAGGCTACCAATCCCTATCATGGAATAGCTTATTGGCACAGGTATCCCTGTGGGGCCGGTGCCCCCTGCTTGAAACGGCAAATGCAAGAGACTCAGAAGCAAAGGCCCGTCTTACAAGGGGGCGCCACACACCCCCCACACACAGACAGACGCAGACGAAGCCACAGACGCAGACGCAGGAGAGTGTGAGAGTGTGAGAGTGTGAGAGTGTGAGAGTGTGAGAGTGTGAGAGGTGAGAGTGTGTGTGTGTGTGTGTGTGTGTGTGTGTGTGTCTGCGTGCGCGTGAGCGTGCGTGTGCATGCGCGTGCGCGTGTGCGTGGGGGTGGCATGTGGGTGCGCCTGCGTGTGCACACGTGACTCTACATGCCCGATTCGCGTGGAAGATGTCATGTATCCTTCCCGACATTCAGGTTCACCGAGCCCAAGTCAATGCTTCAGCTCGCGGGTGGCTGCTCAGCATCACCTTTTCAAGAATATTTCGGCAGAGAGTGGCGCCTAAAAATGCTCAGACTATACTTATACTTAGATTTACATGCATCACGGAGTCATCAAGGGTCGCCTCAAGGCCTATATGGGTCTTCACAGTCAAAGATCCATCTCGATCAGGCTTGCACTGGGTTCTGCGGGATGCGACGGGCAAAGGGCTGGTGGTGGAGTTCCTGGACGGCCAGGGCCCTAGGGCCTCTGGGGCCTCTGGGGCCTATACGGGCCTAGCAAGACTTTTTATTGCAGCGAAACTTCGTCGGAAGGCCAGACCGTGACTTACGAGGACGCCTTTGCCGTGTGTTGACATTTGAAGATTTCAGTGCGAGATGGGCAAGGGCTTTTGACTAGGATCTCAATGATGGAACAAGTTCTTTCGGCATCATGACGAACGAGCCTACCTTCGACTGGCATCTGCAAGCAGTTCAGCACCTGAAGTGGAAGGAAGGCCTGGCTAGAACCGCCAGACGCTCAAGACTTAAGACGTACGCGGCGCACGATCACATCCGCGGGTAGCCTTTTGTTCATTGGCGTCTGAGGCTGTGGCCATGCCCGGCGCCTGGTATCCTGAAGACCGGTTCCAGCGCATCTTTCTGGTCAAAAGGGGGATGCCCACGCCGAAGACCTACCAGGAGCCAGAGTCAGTGAGGAACTGTTATGAGGAACCGTCACCACGTTACTGAACAGTGACACCCAGAACTTGAGGATGCTGTGATGCAAGCGGTGCACGTGCTCAACACGGTGACGGTGCCGATGGGCCTGCAGCTGGGCACAGACTCCGGTAAGCACTCCGGCGAAGGATCAGGCGTTGGGCGCTCAGCTTCTCGCTAGGGTCAGCTACGGAGTGATTGCGGTCGGTTTCACTAGCTTGGCCTGCTGGCAGCAGGACCACACTCAGTGGGGAGTGATTTACGACCATGCCCAGAAGACCGTCTTCTGGAGATCCTGCGAAAATCACAATCTTCAGAGGCGTGGCTTCAAGTCCATGCCAAGTGGTGCGAATCTTGTGAGCATTGTGTGCATGCAGTGATGTCCCAGCTGTGCACATCCATCGCCAACAAGCGTTGCACCGAAGTTGCTGTCCTTGTGCCGAGCATTTTGGCTGGCCTGTCTTGACAGGGTTGTGACTCTAAATCCTGTTAATTACGCATCCTCCTGCCCATGGCGCCTATGTACGTGGTGAAGCGGGATGGCCAGAGCCAGGAGGTGAAGTTTGATGCCATCACCCGACGCATCAAGACTCTTTGCGAAGGCTTGGATCCCCGTTTCGTTGACCCCGTGCCTGTGACACAGAAGGTGGTCGAGGGCTTCTACAACGGCATCTCCACGTCGGAGGTGGATACCCTGGCGGCCGAGACGTGCGCGTACATGTCGCAGAAGCACCCGGACTTCTCTACCCTGGCAGCTCGGATCGCGGTATCAAACCTGCACAAGAACACCTCGGACTCCTTCTACGAGACGTGCAAGGTCCTGCACAACTATGTGGACAAGCAGGGCAGGCCCGCAGCTCTCTTGGCTGAGGACGTTTGGGAGTTCGTCCAGGCCAATGCGGAGGCCCTCGACCAGGCCATCGATTACAAGAGAGATCTGGGCTACGACTACTTTGGATTCAAGACTCTGGAGAAGTCCTACCTCCTGCGCGTTCACGGAAAGATCGTGGAGAGGCCGCAGCACATGATCATGCGTGCAGCTTGTGGCATCCACATGGGTGACCTTACAGCTGCCTTAGAGACGTGGCCAGGCTTAAAGAGTTGAACGTCGGGCCTCAGTTAGTCTTGGCAAACCACGCATGGCATGACTTCTGAGCTTCTTTGTCCGGCGCCTGCACCCAGGTACGACCTGATGTCCCGGAAGTTTTTCACCCACGCGACCCCGACCCTCTTCAATGCTGGAACGCCCAAGCCGCAGATGTCCTCTTGCTTTCTGCTAAAGATGCAAGACGACAGCATCGAAGGCATCTACGACACACTGAAGCAGTGCGCCTCCATCTCCAAGTCTGCCGGTGGGATCGGCGTGGCAATCTCAAACGTGCGCGCCAGCGGCTCCTACATCAGGGGCACCAACGGCCACAGCAACGGCCTCGTTCCCATGCTCCGCAACTTCAATGAGACAGCCAGGCAGGCCGAGGGCCAGGTTAGCGTTGTACGCGACACATGTAATGTGGAAGTGGTTCCAACATGCGAGACAATAGTCGGCCAGCTAGCTGAGACTCTTGGCGGGAGCCGGCCTCAATCAATACAGGTGCACAAAATAGAACAAAAACATAGAAAGACGAACGAGAGAGGGTGAGAGATAGACTGAGTGAGTGAGTGAGTGAGTGAGTGAGTGAGTGAGTGAGTGAGAGAGAGAGAGAGAGAGAGAGAGAGAGAGAGAGTCGAGAGAGAGAGAGAGAGAGAGAGCGAGCCCGCAAGCCGGAGCGCATACCGCGCGGCATCACACACGCACACACGCCAAACATGCGCACACTCGCCAAACGCACACATAGTTGAATAGCACACCGAGGGTGGGCAAAAACGGGGCAAACCCCAAATCGGGAAGAGAGAGAGAGAGAGAGAGAGAGAGAGAGAGAGCGAGAGCGCTCCCAGCAGGTACGTGGACCAGGGCGGGGGCAAGAGGAAGGGCTCCTTTGCCATGTACCTGGAGCCCTGGCATGCAGACGTCTTCGACTTCTTGGAGCTTCGGAAGAACCACGGCAAGGAGGAGCAGCGTGCTCGAGATCTCTTCTACGGGCTCTGGATCCCCGATCTCTTCATGAAGCGCGTGAAGGACAATCAAGACTGGACGCTGTTCTGCCCGAACGAGGCCTACGATGAGGAGACGGGCAAGGGGCTGATGGATGTTTGGGGTGACAAGTTCGACGAGCTGTATGCTCGGCTGGAAACCCAAGGCAAGGGCCGCAAGACGGTGAAGGCGCAGCAGCTCTGGTTCCGAATCCTCGAGTCCCAGATGGAGACTGGGACGCCTTACATGCTGTACAAGGACCATGCGAACCGCAAGTCCAACCAGCAGAACCTCGGCACGATCCACTGCTCCAACCTGTGTACAGAGATCATTGAGTACACCTCGAAGGATGAGGTGGCAGTGTGCAACCTTGCCTCCATCTCCTTGCCAGCCTTTGCCAGCGCCGAGGGCACTTATGACTTCCAGCAGCTTTATGAGGTGACCAAGGTGGTGACGCGGAACCTGAACAAAGTCATCGACCGGAACTACTACCCGGTACCAGAAGCTCGCAAGTCCAATCTCCGCCATAGGCCCGTGGGCTTGGGAGTTCAGGGCCTGGCAGACGCCTTCCTGATCATGAAGCTTCCTTTCGAGGGCGAGGAGGCAAGGTGCCTGAACGAGGACATTTTCGAAACAATCTACTTTGCGGCCTGTGAGGCCTCCTGTGAACTTGTAGAGACCTGCGGCCCATATGAAACCTATGCAGGCAGCCCTGCGAGCAAAGGTCTCCTGCAGTACGATCTCTGGGACCGGGAGCCACGCAGCGGACGATGGGATTGGACTGGCCTGAAGGCACGTATTGCCCGATTCGGGCTGCGCAACTCCCTCCTTGTCGCGCCCATGCCAACGGCCAGCACAGCCCAGATCCTTGGCAACAACGAGTCCTTCGAACCCTACACTCAGAACCTCTACGTGCGCCGAGTACTGTCAGGAGAGTTCGTGCAGGTGAACCGGCACTTGCTCAAGGACCTGATCCAGAGGGGCTTGTGGAATGAGGAGCTCCGCGTCCAGCTGATTGCCCACAATGGCAGTGTCCAGAAGATGGACCTACCGCAGGACCTGAAGGAGCTTTACAAGACCGTTTGGGAGATTAGGCAGAAGGTCGTCCTGGACATGGCCGGCGACCGCGGCGCCTACATCGACCAGTCGCAATCGCTGAACATCCACATGACGGACGTGACTACTGCGAAGCTCTCCTCCATGCATTTCCACGGCTGGCAGCTAGGCCACGGGTTGCCTTCAGCGTTGTTTATCCTATCCAAGTGTCTGGACCCCTTGAGCTTCACCCCTTTCACTTGCAGGCTTGAAGACGGGCCTTTACTACCTCCGAACGAAGGCGGCGGCAGATGCCATCAAGTTCACCGTGGATGTCCAGAAGATCACCAAGACTGTCAGGCGCTGTGCCAAAAAATCGCCTGACACGGCCGTTCAGTCGCTTAATCTGGCGAGGCCTGACAAATCCGTGGCCTCTGACTCAGATGCCTCGACAGCTGCTTCTGCGACGAAAGGCCTGGAGGCCTCGGCTCCTTGGCACAGGAAGCTGCATTCTACCACATTTGTGACAGCTTTCGAGGCTTTCGATGGGTTTCGTAATGTATAGATTCATCGCATCTGAGGCAATCGAAGTGCTGAAGGCTGAAGGGCCAAAGTACAGCTGCGTGAACTGCAGCTCCTGAGAGTGCCTGAGATGCGTGAGCCCAGCATTGCACCCAATTCGACCCAATGATGTCCTTGTCGATCCGTGCATGAACGTCTTCCCATGTCCGAAATCAGTGGCTGTTGTCAGGTTCACTTTTGCAACTGATCTGGATCGTCGATGCTGCTGACGTCTCATGTTCGGTCGTTAATTCACCGGTACGCACAGCCGTGGGGTCGAGCTGTGCACAAAACAGGGGGCCAAACCACATCCTCCTGTGTTTCACCCGGGGCTCCCAACTAGGAGGAATTGCAGTGGACTTCCCGAGTCCGCTGGTTAAGGGGGTGCCTGCAGTGGCAGGTGTCGGAGATCTTGCATCTCCAGAGGAGCTGGGGCGTTCGAAAACATTGCGCTGGGCCCACCTGAAGCGGTGTTTTGAGCCCTTCTTGCCTTCATCCGTATTGTTAAAGATCACCCATGCTAATTAGCAGTGAACACTTTTCTCTCACCCAGCCAATGATCTGTCAGCACCCCCCCGCCACCCAATTGGGGGGGAGTCGGGGGGGTCTTCAGGCCTTCAGCCCTAAAACCTTAGTCAAGTGCTAAGCGTATTCAGGTTTACAGCGTTTAACCTCCCCAGTGGTTCTTCGTGAGAAGGCCTTGTAAGCCTGGAAATCAAAAGGCTCAACCAGGGGAGTTTTTCCAATATTTTCAAATTCTGTTTCCCCGCGTTTGGCAAGACTTTGACAACCCTATTTAAAGAATCTTCATCGCCAAGCCGTATTCACTGCACTTGTCAATTGCCCAGGTGCACTTCTTATTTGGATGCAAATCACGCTCTCGCCTAGATGCTGGCTCGGCTACAGGATTCGGGGCGTCCGTTTCATAGCAAAAATTTAGGTTTTCGGCGTTGCCGGACGTGCAAAACGACATTTTTGCCTAGGTCCCGTGCGTATTTTTCCAGGCGGGGAAAGGCGGACGAATGCGTTTTCCTGGCCCTCCCAACTGTTTCAGCAACAAAGGAAAACGCAGCTTTTTCAACCGGCTTTGGCCCGGAAGGATTGTGCAATTACGGGGGGGGGGGGGTTATTCCGTTCTGGGATTTGAATGTGCAATTGCGGGGGGGGGGGGGGGGGGTTAATAATGTGAGGTCAACATAATTCCTCCAACTCTCCGTCAATGAGTGTGGTGTGTTTCTAAGCGATCTGAATCGAATCAGGCTGCAGCTAGAGGATCTTCTGAAAAGCGGTGGCAAGAGGCAGGTCTGGGTATGGCAGCAGGAGGAATACTTGTGAGCAGGTTGCTGCAAATTCTGTGCCAAGTTCAGTTCGGTCTTTCGAGGTCCTTCAATGCAGATGCTGCCAGACTTCCTTGGTTTAATGATGCCGCGGCAGCATTCCAGCCTGTAGAGACATCTGAGAACGACAAGGAGCACGGTTCCTTGCAGAAGTGTCAGAAGCCCTCACAGCTCCAAGGGACACTGTCTAGGGTCCTTCTTAGTCTATAGGAACGTGGACCACTGTTGCCTTGTTGACTGACAGGAGAGCATCCACGTCGTTTGAGCGGCAGTGCCTCCTCCAGCTGTGCTCCATCCGGAGGATGACATAGCGAACGTGGCTGACGTAGCACCTGAGAGGAGGGAAAAAAGGGGCTCCCCGCTTTCACCCTGGCTCTGGTGCTGAGAATCTTAAGAGCGACTTGCATTTCGTGCTGCGGCGCTCAGGACCCCTTTCCGCTTCGCCAACTTGGATTATGCAACGAAGCTAATCCTAGGCCACCTGGGGTTCAAGCATAGCTCATGCCACACGGCATGAAACTGCATGAAACCGCAGGCAGTTCGCTGCTGTACTTCATGCTGATCGGGGCCACGGTAGCGTATAGCAGCATGGGCCAAATTTAGCGCTTGGCTAGGCGTGTCGTTCCTGTATGTTCCTGCATGTTCCTGCCATACTGCAAGGCACCCCCAAGAGAGCCTCCTTAAGCACCCACCGAGGCATGGTCATTGGGTTACCAAAGCCGCTGCCTGCGGATGGGCCTCTTGGACTCTTCTTGCGTGTGCTGCGAATGATTAGAGTCCTCGGTAGGGCACTATACAGACAGCTCCTGCATAAGACGGGCATGATGATGGCGCTTCACAGGTTTTTCGAGGGAGCCGACAGAATCATCATGTGCACCTCGGCGGTGGCTATCAGCATTTCCTTTTCCTAAGTAGACAAGCGATGGACCGCGATGGAGCTTTGTTAGTGTGTGGCGGGGTGCTGCAGAAAGCCTTCTGATCTTGGCATGCGGCCTGTTGTGTTGTGAAACGGAGCGTTCGAATAGTTTGCTCCGTGTCGCCGAGTCTGAACTGAGGCGTTACCTCGGTCTTAGTGGCCGGCACCACGCTCGTTGTTACAAACGCAGCTCGGCGGGATAGATAAGTCGGATGGCCTGAGCCTGCATCCATGCCATAACATACCCACGTTCCACGACAAGGTCCTGCGGCGCAGCCCCTTCCACACTTCAAAAAGCCCAGGCATTGGTGTGGATTGTTCTGGGGTCCCTCATCCGACCGGCGGACCTTATCCCTTACGCCATCATGCTTGCAGCAGTTGCGGGCCTCAGTCGCCGGGCAAATCGTGAAGGTTGCGTTGATTTTCACTTGAGGTGGTCACGATGGGGCACAGCATGCTCTCCAAGTTCCGGGGTATGAAGATCCTCGGCAACAGCACTCGCCAGAGATCAGCCTAATCGTGTTGTATGAGTGCCAGCTATACCGACATTTGTTCTGTAGGCAGGACAGCTCTTAGTCTTACACCATCCTATGCCCGAGGAAGTACTGCGAATCGAAGATGACCACCTTGCTCGATGCGGCAAGGGTCCCAAGGGTCCCAAGGGTGGTGTGTCCGGGGTTCTGTGGGTCTCCGAGGAGCACTCCTTGGGGGCCCCCAATGGAGCCACAGCTGTGTGGATTATGAAACGCTTGTGCCCGCTTAACGGCTCCAAAGCTGCTTGAAAAAGGCCGCTCGTAGTGTGAAGGTGTTCAGATGCCGTCGGGCGAGAACAGATTTCATGCTGATTTAGTTTGTGGATACCGTTTCCATTTATTTTCTAACCATGCCCACCCCCCTGTGCCCCCGAAGACCCAAAACCATAACAACCTATGCCTCAACCCTAAACTCACCGAAAAGACCCATAGTAAGACCCACCTGAAGAACCCATACTATGGAACTACCCACAACCCCATAGAAAAATCCCAACCTCAACATCATACACCAACACCCCCATAGAAAAACTCATATTCCCCAACCCATATTCCCTAACCCTTGATAATGGAAATGTTATTCTCTAATAAAATAACAATAAGGTAGTAATGAGAAACAAGAATAATATTATTTCAGCAAAATAATATTATTATTATTATTATTATTGGTTTATTATTCAGGCTTGACTAGTTCGCTGTATTCTTCTTCAATGTCCTGAATACTTTTATTCAACCACTTGACTCCATTCTTTGGTTTCACATCTAAATATTTAGTGTCTGTGATTCCCCTATAATTATTGACACAGTATTTCAAAATGTTCAATTAGATCCGAATATTGTTTTATTAGCTTTTTATCTTCTGAGATTTTGTCTTCTAAAAGACATATATCGCGCCTAACATTCAAGACATCTTCTTGATCAAAAACACTTTCATAAACTTTAAGCAACTTACATATCTCCTTAATTTCATTCAAGAAATCTATTTCATTTAATTTCATTTCATATATCTTCTTGGTATACCTCGCTTGTATTTTATGTGTTTAGATCTGTATAATCCATTTTCCTCTGAATATTTTAAGGGGCTGCGCCCATGGGCGGGCAGCGCACGCAGAAGCCTGGGGCGAGCAGTTTCTAAGCATGTTGAGGCCCCGAAACTCCCTTAAAATCTCTAAGCGTTAAGTTTCTAAGCATTTTCAGGCCCCTAAACTCCCTTCAAATCTCTAAGCGTTTGAGGCTCCTAGACTCCCTTAACGTTTCTAAGCACTTTATAAGGCCCCTAAACTCCCTTTTTCCTAGCCCCGGGCTTAGACACGTCGCTTATGCCCGCCCTTTGGGGGGCATCATGCTCCTGATGCGCCCCCGGGGTCCCGCCCCGGGAGCCGCTGATGCTCCTGATGCGCGCCTGGGGGTCCCGGGCTGGACCCGCTGATGCTCATGATGCGCGCCCTCTGGGGGCCTCCGTGGCGACGCAAAAAACCACGAAAAAAAAACCGTTCACCGGCGGCACGCGGGGGTCGGCGGCACTGGCGTCCGGCCTAATTCTGCTTCGCAGAAGGCCAGAGGCCAGCAAGGCTATTCCCGGGACGACCCGGGCTAAAAGGTCCGCATTTGCTCGGTCCTTTGGGGACCTCGCGCTGCCCGATTTAATGGCTACCGCCAGTGCCGCCGACCCCCTCCAAGGGGGGCCAAGGCACTGTGGGCTCCGGCCGCGGATTATGTATATATATATATATAGATGATGGCAGCGTGGCCAGAAAATCACAGAGTCCATGGGGTGGGCGAAGTGTGACATCACCGAGACATTGCTGCAAGAATTTCTTAAATTTAGTGAAGTTCTCTGTCTGTCTGTGTGTGTGTGGGCCAGTGCCATAGCTGGCTGCTGGTGTTGCCGTAATGTTTGAGTGACTCGTGCTGTTGTTTGTTGGTGGTTCCTCCATATGCTGACCTTTTGTGTAGCCGCGTGGCTACTGCGCAGACGTCGCCGCCCGCGCTGCCCGACCTTTGGCCACTGCCCGGTGCCGCGGTACCAGCAAGAATGCCAGGAGGAGAACTCCAAACTATGCATGGTGTATTTTCGGGCGTGGACGGGCATGCCCCAGCATGCAGACCGCGACGTGCCTCATATAGCCGACTTGCAGGGCAGCTACCTCGCGTGGGAGACGGCATTTCGGGCCTGGCTACAAGAGCTTCCGTGTCAGGAAACGAAACAGCACGTTGGGAATTTCCTGTCCGTCTACCGCGTGCGCTCTCTCGCTGCGGACGCCGAGAACAGTGACAACGACGGCGCAGACACGAGTGCCGTGCGCGTGACTGCGGACAATCTGGCTACGAGCCTGACCACGCGCAAAACAGAAAAAAACGGGGTAGAGGCGCCGGACGCAGAATACGCAGACTTGGAGCAGACGTGGCGAGCGGAACAAACAAACGAAGGGAAGCCGGGCCGAGCGCTGGCCGCAGAGAACACGCTGGATGTGCGTGAACTGGTGAAAGAAGCATGGAAAGCGCCGCAGGGCGGCGCAGAGGCAGAGGATGCCGTTGCAGAGGAAGCGCTGGAGCGCGAACCGACTGTACGCACGCGTGGCATCCGTGCCACCGTGCGTGCTGTCCACGAGTGGGTGACGGAGTTGCGCACTCGCGTCGATGAGAAGGGCAGACCTATCTGCAACAGAGCGCAGCACGCTTTCATTGAGCGGGTGGCGCGTCGAGTTGTGGAAGAGATGCAAACAGGCGAGGCACAGGGTGGCGCGCGTTCGGGCCTGCCGGACGCCATGCGCTGGGTGCTGCATGGCGGGCCTGGCACCGGCAAAACACACGCGGTCAAACTTCTGCGCAAGGAGCTATTCGAAGACATCCTGGGCTGGAGCCAAGGCCCAGTTTGCGGCGCTGCAGGCGGTAACAGCCGAGATGGTCGATGGGGACACGCTGCACCGTGCCTTCGGGTTGAGCTGGGGCCAGAACGCCGCAGACACGACGCCGCTAACGAAAGGACTGCAGCAAGCGCAGCGCATGCTCCAGCTGCGCTGGCTTATAATAGACGAAATAAGCATGGTGAGTGTGGAACTCCTGGCAAAGCTAGAGCAGGCGTGTCGGCGGGTGATCCGGAATGGCAGCCCGTTCAAGCGCGATGCAGCCAACGTCGACAAGCCCTTCGGAGGCTTGAACGTTCTTGTCGTCGGGGATTTGTGGCAGCTGGAGCCTCCCAAAGGGCATTTCATCGCCGATTTGCCGCACGAGTGGCTGGGCAGTGCAGGCGCCCGGCAGCGGCCCCTCCTGGCGCAGGGGCAGGAGTTGATGTGGGGGCCGCCGGAGCTGGCTTTCCAGGGTTGCACGGAGCTGGAGGAATGCGAGCGCACCAAAGATGAATGGCTCAAAGAGTTGCAGGACGAATTCCGCTTCGGTCAGCTCAGTGCCGACAACCATGCTTTCTTGCACGGAAGACCAACGCGCGTGCCAGGCAGCTGGCTGCGCGGGCGAGCCGGGTGCGGACAAGCAAAGTGTCAATGCCTCGGCGCGCAGCAAGTAACGCCGGAGACCATCCTAGCAGAGGAATGCGCAAGGTGCTGCGCCGAGCGTGCTTCGCGCCGATTAGTAGCCGAATCGTCGCACGATCCCAGATTCTTGGGTCGCTTCGTCCTCGCGCCCTCCATCTTCGCCACGAACGTACGGAAATGCCACACGAACAAAATCCGCGCCGAGGCTTTCGCGCGTCGCACGAAACGGCATTTGCACTACGTCGTGGCCCAGGATTGCGCTTGTGCGGCCGTCGTGCGCGAGAAACCGGACCTGGCCGAGCAGAAACTGCTCTGGCTGCAACGCCATGACCGGGAGTGCGGCGAGCTGTGTGGCATGCTGCCGCTGTGCGACGGCATGCCGGTGCTTTTGACGGACCACCTCAACCGTGCGCGCGGGCTCCTGAAAGGACGGCGGGGCTTCGTCACGGGTTGGCGCCACGCGACTGATGGCGCTGAACCGGCGGGGCCCGGCTGCACGGTCTGGAACCAGCTGCCCGAAGTAGTTTACGTGCGCTTCCCCGGCGCGAAGTGGCGCATTACGGGGCTGGCCACGGGCGTGTATCCCGTTGTGCCAAAGCGTGCGACGTGGCATCTGGATGCCGGCCGAAAATCGCCGATGCTAGCAGTCCGTCGACGGCAACTTCCCCTAATACCAGCTTTCGCTATGACGGCGCATCAAGCGCAAGGACAGACGCTGGAGGAAGGCATCGTCGCAGATCTGTGTTATGGCGCGTACAGCAACGTCTTGGCCGCCTACGTTGCCTTGACGCGGGTCACGAGCCGGGAAGGCATTCTCATTCTGCGGCCCTTCGATGCGGCTCCATTCCAGCAAGGCGACACCAGCTTCCGAGCGTTGTTGATGCAGCACTTGCGCACGCATGACGTCAACTGGGATGCCATCGTGCAGAGGTACGTGCGTGTCAAGACCTGCAGCGAGTGCCGAACAGAGCGGCTGAAGTCAGCGTTTACGCAGGGACAATGGAAGCAGCCGGACGGAGCAGCAATCTGCAAAGAGTGCACAAAGTCATACCGCGAACGCGGCACGCCGTATCGCTGTAAGCGCTGCAAGCGATGGCAAGCCCCAGAGGCGTTTCCGGGCAAAATCAGCAATTATTTGATCTGGCAAAGCACTTGCCTCATGTGCCTGGAGAAGCGGCAATGTGGAACTTGTGCGCGCTGGTTTCCGCAGGCGGCCTTCACGCCCAATGGCTGGCGCCAGAAGCGGGACCGGACGTGTAACGTCTGCCGCCAGCGGGATATCGGCTTGCGCGCGCGCCGCCGGCTGCGCAACCGTCAAGAGACGGTGCGCGCGGCAGACCGCCGCAGGAAGCGGCAGCAGATTCTAGAGGAGGTGCGGGCCGAAATCCAACAACGGCAAAAGCAAGAAAGCGGCACCTGCACGCACACCAGCGCCAAAGCTGTGGCGACAGTAGTTAAAGACGGCTGTGTCTACTTCACGTATGAGTGCCCACAATGCAAGGCCAAGGTCGAATCAACCGTGCGAGACGGACGCATCGACAATCGACGGAAATGCGGCCACAGGTTCACTGTCGCTGCAAGCAAAGTCGTCGCGGCGCAGTCGGCAACTACGCGCTAT